TCAGGACAAACAATCAATGCCAATGACAGATCCACGTCAGACAGAGCCTAATTATGGGAACAGCGCTCTGAGAGATATTGTGTCATTAAAGCCCACCGTCTCCACTCCAACTACACCAGACTCTTCCCTGCTGCCCGTCCATGCTGTGAGGTGCATTTGTGTGTGTATCAACCTTGTTCTGTGTCCCTTGTCCTCATGTAACTTTTTGTGTTGCAATCAGATCACTCTTATCCAGAACAGGTTGTTAAGTGAAGACATAGGAGAGACATGACAAAACAACATTTTTAGAGGCCATGTCTGACTGAGGGAAGCCTCAAATACTTCTAACAGCCGCAATCTGAGAACTAAATGACTAAAACTAAAATACTTACATAGCTGCTGTCTGATTTTGAAACCATTCTCGCCCAGACACCATTAATGGGATTGTTTACTCAGAGGAAGATATGACACATTCAGTTTGCAAAGACTGCAGAAAAGAGGTCTTGGCACTCAAATTGGACAGGTACATCAGGTTAATGACCTGCAGGCATTGTACAAAGGCGTGATCTGTGTTTGTGTTTCTTGTCTTCTGCGAGGGCAATATTAGAGAAGCTGAGCCAAACTACAAATCATGTCGGCCTGGAGGCAAAACGAAGCTGAGCAACAGATAAATGTCAATTATCAATTGTCAATCAATAATTATTATCCATCTGTTTCAATTGAAAGCCCTGTGACAGATTAGTGAGATGGCAGCTGAGCAACTAAAACACAACGTGACTCACAGGCTAACACTAGCTGGAGGCTACGTAAGCTATTTTCCTGTTTGCAGGCAGATTCTCTTTTCTGCCATTAAGTCAAAAGACGGTAACTAAACATGCTCAGAAGTAATAAAATAATTTAATTTGAAGTTCATATATTCCTTTTATCACACCAAAAAAACACAGGAACTTTTAGGAACAGCAACAATCCCCCCCCCCACCCCTAACCTTAGCCGGCTCGCCAAACCAAGCCAAAGCTTTCATGTGGGTTGCAAGGTATAAAAATCAGCTCCTCCTACTCAGTCAGGAGCAATTTCACTGAACAATTTCTGCTTCTTTCTCACATGGGCTCATCCCGGCTTCTCGCTGAAAATTTACTAGGGGACTGGCAGAAAAAAATCAGCAGTTTGCCATCTCACATGCAGCTCAACCTGAACATTTCTGGAAGTTTTTAGGAGTTTTGTGCAAGTGTGAAACCCCCATATGTGAACTATTGGGTGCGGTAGTAACAAGTTGACTGATTAAACATCAAAAAAGACTAAACTAAATACTACAATTAATTTTTGGAGTTGTGTTTCTTGACACCTGATAAATGTTACTCCAATATTTACTTGTTTTAGCTCTGTTTTTGGTCCCCTCCACCTTCTGGAGAAAAAACACATTAGTCTCTTTAGCCAATACTGTGTTTGCTAGCTTGTTGCCAAGTTGCCATCTGACGGCCTTTTGGTTTAGTGTGATGTAGTGTGCAAGTGTGTTTTTTTCAGAGGTTTCCTCTTTAAAAAAGTGCATGCTGGAGCCATAAACAAGAATATGACTGGGTTGAGTGAGAACCAAAACAGTAAAGTTGTGGGCCAGAAAACCAAAACACAGATCTGTAAACAGTAGAAAGCTCAGTACAACTTTATAGAACCACTGTTGGAAGATTCTTTTCAGCAGGATCATCACTATAAGGGAGCCTGACACCCTTTAACATGCAAATAGTCATTTGATCTATATTCAAATACAATGTGGATTAGCTGCTTTAAAGAGCAAGCTGGTAGGGCAAAATAATTACATTTTTCCACCTAGGTTTAAAGGTCAATAAAACGTAAGTAAATTATTCATTTAACATTAACAAGCTCTTTTATTTAATCCTTTACAACTTATCAGGATAACGAATACATTAATGCAAAAAACAGCGAGGAACAAGCTCCCCTGTATTGCATTTCTCTTTCATCTTCTTCCCCGCTTGGTCAACACAGGGGGACGGTATCGCGGCAACAGATTTGTTTGGGGCAGCCTCGGTATCAGCAGGACACGGACTGCTCGGCTCTGTTTGGAGTAACTTAGGCTGCTGTGAAAAAATCCATGGCATGCTAAAAACATAATATACAGGAGCCTGGCATCCCTAAGAGAGAGTCTGAATGTCTGTTCCTCTCTGCAGGTAGCCATGTTAGGAAGTGCTGACAAACAGAGAAGAAAGACAGAATGCACAGTGGCTGGACACTCTCCAAAATGTCACCTCCTCCTCCTATTTGGGCTCCTACTATGGTAACAATAGTCATAACCCTGCTTGATTGCTGAGTTTATATTCAACTTAAGCACTTTTATTAAGAACTAGAAAAAATCCAATAAACTTTCTGCTTTAGGCTATATGAATTTTCCCCTTTAAGGAAACGATATAATGTTTGGTTTGAGCTGTACCCAACTCAGTATGAAAAATGTTTCAAGTAACTGCCATTTTTTTAAATACTTTACTTTTTATCCTTTACTTGAGTGGAAGATTTTGGCCAGATAGTGAGCTAAAGTTAGCTAAAAATGTAGCTGCCAAAGCCCTAAACTAAAGAGTGTCAAAGATTTTTAAACGTTTTTTTATGAAAAACAACTAATTTGGTGGGTTTTTTTACCATTTATTTAAGGGGACAGGATCCTTCTGTGTATAAGTCAACTCACAGCAGAGACCTGGTATGAACTATTAAGAAATCTGAACCTAAAAAGAAGCTAATACGTTAACAAGCTAGCAGCTATAGCCTACCGACAACCAGCTTTCCAAGGAGGGTCAAAGAAACACAAGACATTATTCAGTAGGCTAATTTGTAATATTCATAGATCCATTTGATTGTGCTGAAGAGGAGAATGCTGCAGATAATCTGATTCTTGAGGATAAACGAAAATCGAAACAGAAAAAGTGTGAAGCAAGACACCTATCGCTAAAGTTTGGCTTCTAGCCTGATGATGCATTTTTTGCTAGCATGCCATTCTGTTTGTCCTGCACAGCACTGTGTACAGTGACAAAGCTGAAATAAATAAAATACAAATGTACTCAGTACATTTTTAGCAGCCAGCGCTAATTGTCGCATTACTTATAGTCCCCCTTTTTTTGAGGGATGTCTGTACACCAAGCGACAACCTCTGGTGTTGAGCCAGGGTGGAAGTGCAAAATCTTGCAGTTCCTTGAGTGTCCACTTGAGGCCAAAGCCCTGGAAGACACATACACACCCATATTAAAATGCCCATCTTGACAGCAAAAATAAACGTGTCAATAGCCTGGATTAAGAGATGAATTTGGTCTGAGTAGCTCATTTATTTATCAGCACACAGTGTACAGGGTGTGATTTTTTTTTTTGATTACTCATCTGTTTGGATTTTATGAAGAAGAAGAGTGATCTGACTGACAGGCGGGCATGTTGTAGCTGTTTGTCAGGAGGCTCCACTGTCCATCGATGAGGCTTCAAAAGTCTGCTGTCACTGAGAGTACGTCCATGTTTTATACGGTCTATATTGTTTACGGGATAACTTTCGTCAAGACGTCACCAAATGACTCAGTCACTAAGGTAGAGGAATCTCATAATTAAGGCCTCATTAAAGCTGCATATACAAACTATGTTGGTTTACAGGGGCAGACAGAAAACTCTCAGATTCACAATGGGGCCATTCATGATACCTCACTTCTCTGAAGGAAAAGAGAAAGAGCAGTTGCTCTTAGCATTTGGGCAGATGTAATTGCAATCACTCAGCTTGTCTGATGCTGATAATGGGGTGATGGGAAATTCCTGTCAGTCGTGGCGCAGGGTGGTTTCACAACCACTTTGGCAGGCTCCGTGTTCCACTGCAGGGCAGCGAATGCGTTACGGCATGCTCACATAGCTGTCATTAAACACATTTTGGAGGAAAAAAAAACACATAAGACAATCAAAACTCGTAAGTGTGTACCATTCGGTCCTGCTTCTTTAGCAATACAAAGGCAAATATTATGTAAACGTATATCGTCTGTCAGCTCTGCGCTGTTACACGCGTTGAAAGACTTCAGAAAAAAAGAAAAGTAAATGTGCTTCAGTAGTCCCACTCACCTTATACACACTGTTCTGGCCGAGCTATTTTCAACATCTTTATTTTCATTTGTCATTCTCAAAACATGTCTCTTGACTGGAAGTTTATGTGAAAATTAACCTGTGGGGAAATGAGAACATATATTATTAACTGGTGCCTATAAATGCCGGGCAGTTCATTTTAAATAAAATAATGTTTGTTTTCTAAATTCTGGGCGTCCTTTCTAACAAGCAGCCCATTCCTGTCTGAATGTGTGCTACAGTAGGTGGCTGAAATAGCACGTGGGTGCAACGTTCTTGTGGTTGGTCCTCGGGTACAGTATGTGACACTTGGCATCTCAGCAATGCTTCCATGAGAAGCCTCTATTATAAGGCACTCATGCAATGATGCCGACAAGCTCATTTTACTGTCCGGACAAGCATTTGTGCAATAATGTCCGAGAGCTTCTTATTACCACTTTCAGAGACCACCCAAGAGTGGATTTGGTGTGATTGCAGATTTTCTAATAATCTAATAAAGAGTTGCAATAAAGTCCCATTTTATACTGACATGCAGTTTGTTGTGATGGGCAACAGCTATTCAGTTTTAATCACAAGGGTGAACGTTAAAGAGAGCTCTGGACACATGATCCTGAATGACATGCATGTTATTGTTTCTTACAGATTAGTTTTTGATCTATTTAACAGGTAGATAACTGCAGCCATGAATTTAACTGGCAGTCTGCCATGTTTGCAAAGGTATTTGAGGTATTTTACAATTCAAATGATGCCACAGAGAAATCCTAAGTATTCATGAACTCCAGATGATGCTTTCATACACAGGACAGATCCTAAAAAAACTGAATATAAGGGTTGCATAAGGGTTGTTTTCCTCCCTTGAGCTAGTCACAAATACAGTCTTAAAATAATTAAGCATCACTATGACTTAAATCACCATGTGGAGACACCAAGTGGCAACATTTAATAAAAAGTTTAATTTCAAAATACAGCATAGTATGGTAAAAAAAAAAGATATGAATTTATTCTTGCAATAATGTGGGGTTGTGACCGTTCAAACATATTGGAGAGAATCATACATTTTCTCAAACATAAATATCAAAACATCAATGCTCTCCAAAGTTATCAGTTATGATAAATTACAAATATCTGTACGTCCAAAGTTTTATTTACTTAACCAGGAGAGGAACTCGTTAAGTTTGAACAGAATGTCCTTTTCAAGAGTGTCCTGGCCGAGACAGGCAGCAGCACAGATACCAACGTTTCTGACAGACAATGAGCAGCTATACATACACACAAACGGAATATAAGGTTCATGAACACATTAAAAGACGTGAAATTACAAGTAAAGCAGCAAATATTTGTCAAAAGTAATATAATACAGTAAAAAAAAAAGACCGTCAAAATGTTACCAGGATACTTTAAGAAAAATTCTGTTTGAAAGAGAAACTCACTGCTAGCAACATGTAGCGTATAGCTAAAGCCATGTATGCTGCTGGGAGCCAGGGCATGATCAATACTGTGCTGACCAATGCAAAACACTCACCTCAAGATCTTTGTTTTCCAAACTCATAGTCTACATCCATGCTAGTGACTCTCTAAGGCTGTACCGTTCTTTGTGTTAAATAGCTTGCTAACAACGACAATGCTAATAACTCAATCTAGCTGTCATGTCTGTCATGTTCTCAACTTCTGTTGCATGTTAGCATATTTACACTGGTTACAATTCTTCCTGAGGGGTGCATGAATGTGTGTACCAAATGTCATCGTCTCCATCCAATAGATGTTGAAATCATTCAGCCAAGAACCCCAAATGTGAACCTCATGGTGGCGCTAGATGGAAAGGCAGTGGGTTGCAGAAAGTTTGTTAGAACTTTTTAGTCATGGAACCACAAAACTTTTATTGTAATCCAGATATTTCTATCTGAAAAGCAGTGGACCAAATGGCCAAAAGTACCACGTAGAGCTGAGCCATAAGCATGGTTGGAAAGGCAGTTATAGCTGCGTTACAAAACAGGTAGTCTACAAATCATTTTTACAAGATCTTTCGAAGTCATTTCTGTACTTTGAGCATGTGTCCAATGTCCAGTGTACTCGCAGTCTATGTACCATATAACATATATAAATGTGATATTAAATCCATGATAAAAAATAACTATAGTTCATGACTGTGTACATTATAGATCATATTGACAAAAAAACATAAACATGTCAGTGTACATTGAACATACAAATGTACCTTTAAACATCAACAACATTGATATTTGGTTTTCTGCAAATGCCTTCAACAACCATGAGACTGAAACAAACGTGTTCACGGCTTTGTTTTCAGGTTATTTTATTGGTGAGGAGACAGTCGTCAAAGTTCCTTGAGGAAGTGGCAGTGCACTGTGAAAAACAAACTCAGTCCTTGAGCTCTTCTTCACACTGTCCTTTCATCGTCTGACAAAACAGTCAAGTCAAAGTCACTTCCTTCAAAACCTTCCTGTGGTTTGGTTCTGTGTGGTGGTGCGGATAAGCAGTCCTTTGCAGAAACAGGAAAAAGGCAGCCGTGGATGGCTTGGATGATGCCCTTTTCATGTTCGAGGCTATACACCGAGCAGCATGCCCATAAAATCTGAACCGTTCTGTATTGTAATGGAAGCGCCCGCTGCATTATCCACAAATATGGAGGTGTACTGCCCGGCCTGCAGAGGAAAATATAAAAAAGGGATGAAAAAGATCGCAATAATACAGATTTCCACATTAATGATGTGTGTGTGTCTGTGTGCTGCTTACCTGTAGCTCGAGCAACCCCTGCACGCTGACGGTGAATATCTTGCTGTTACTTTCTAATCCAACAATCATCTCCAGTGAGCTGCAGTCAGGATGTAAAAAGAATATTTCTGATTAAATGTTGTGTTTTTCAGCATTTCAAAATTTTTAAGACCACATTAAAAAGAAACAAAGTTTTCTTAACCCTTAATCTCCCAAATGAACATGCTTATATCTGGATGAGAATCATCCATTAAAATAGTGTTTAGAGAGAGTAGAGCAACTTCATCGTCTGTAAACCTTCTAGACTCACAAAGCAGCCAATTGGTCTTTAAAATATGGAAGTAAACCACGGGAACAAACTTGGTTTCGCTTTAGTGAGACCAATGGAAGGAAAGCTGAATGAAAGTTTGCATTGACTAACAGCAGCTTGTGGAACGGAGACAAGTGGAAGATTGAAACTTTGGCTCTCCACTTCTTGGACAGCCACACCAGCTGCTCCTTCCTGTTTCCAGTCTTTCTGCTAAGCTAAAGAAACAGAGTAATGGTGTGTTCATACAACCTCTAACAAGCATCCAAGCCATTAAGAAATTCAAAAACATTTCTGAAAGTAATTTTCAGTGGGAGCTGGCAACATAAAGCCATAAGCTTTACACAAGGCTGCTATTGGTTTAGCTCGTCCCGATGTTTGAAAGTGCTCCAATTGCGCAGGGAGGCATCAACCGATCATATTGTTTTGTTTCAGTTCAATCCATGCCTGTTCACCTTGAACAAAACCCTTGTTCTGTCCCGTCTATGAATGGGTGGAAAACATATTCTCCAACCTGTCCTGAAGACAGGGAATACTCGACCAAGTTGATATATGGGAGCTTTCTTTTAATGTGCAAATTTAAGAGCAGTTTAAAGCCAGCATCCCCTGCTGGTTCCCCCTTCCAGTACTGAAAACCTCCTCCACCCATCAGTCCTTCTGTGAGGAGGTTTAAAAAACACAACCCTCCACCAGTGTTCAATACCAAGAATGAGCTACACAGCTAACAGCTAACAAGCTAACACAAAGTTATCATACTATTTTATACTATTTTCGGCTTGCTGGCGGAACAAATTCGCCCAGACATTTCACCTTGGCACATTAGTGGAGGGACAACAAAGACAGACTACTCAGGTTCTGAGTAGTCTCTCCTTGTCGTCCTTTGAGCTCAGTGGATACTCAGGGGCAGACCTCGCCTCCTCCCATCAACTCAACTCAACTCAACTTAACTTTATTTATATAGCACTTTAAACACAACATTGTTGCTCCAAAGTGCTGAACATTGCAGAAACAAAGCATTAAAAAGTAACAGACAAGAACAACAACAATAAAAAAAAAGAAAAGAACAATAAAAAAATATATAAGAACAAGTGACAGTTAATTACAGAATAACAGAGCCATGGGTTTTTTGTGCTTGATGAACATTAAAAGCAATTGAGTAAAAATATGTTTTAAGACGAGTTTTAAAAACACAGAAAATCAGAGGCGGTAAGTCATTAAATTCATTCAATTGAAATAAGTTAAAACACATTGGCTTTATAAAAATGTCTTTCTTTGTTGTTGTTGTTGTTGTTGTTTTTATGCCTTGTTACAAAAGCACGTTGGTCAGCTGAGGCTGTTTCAAACGTGCTATATAAATAAACGTGACTTGATTCACTGGAGGCTCAGTAGAGGTCCTGGGTCTGACAGGCTGTTTAAAGGGTGCTAGTAACGGTTAGTGGTCGCTCTCCCAGAGCTTGCAGAGGACATCAGAGGGGGAACCAGAAAATATTCTCTCCATAAAATTATATCCAGTTTCAGTGAAAACAGTTATTAAGTTGTGGTTTTGCACAGTAGTCAGTGAAAACACTCTGCTTCAGCTGAGTCTTTCATATCCATGACAACATTAGCATGTTAAAAACCTTTGAGTAACACTTTAAATGTGAATCTGTACCAACACAGCTGGGCAGGCTGGGCTGTTTTGTACCTTTGTCACTTGTTTGTGGGAACAGTTTGCATACTGTCCCAAATGTCAAACTCTCTTTTAACACCGAGTGCTCTCAGTGTCTGTTTAGATGGTTATAACATGACTGCAGGCTTATAACCACAGAGTGCGAGCACTGGCTCCTGTTAAGTGGAAAATGCTAAATTTTTATGGCAAATCAATCATGTTTGTCTTCACTCCGACTGCCATCACAATGAGCCTCATTGCACATTCTCTGCATTTTCATGTGTGGGAGCGAGACTGGCTGGGGGTTTGGCTCGAAAAAGCAAGAGTCGAGGACTCATTTTGGGTTAGGTAACCCGTCATAATAATATTATTTATATGTTCCCTTCATTGTACCACGCTCGAAAGAGAGTGCTGTGGAGCTCTGACAAGTCTGGGAGAGACTTCAGGGAGCAATTCATATCAGACATTTTCACGGACTTTATGTAAATAGTAGTTTTGAAATATTTGATAAAACGGTTCCCAAACTGGATTTGTATTTTTTCGCAATGTTGATGAATGAGATACTTCATTATGTGTCTCCCACATCCCAAAGAAGGACATTTCACTGCAGCGCTACTGAATAAAACAAGCTGTCTGCAATGTCAAAGGTGAGTCTATAAAGATTAGTTAGGCGACCGGGCTCTTAGTGAGAGGACATTTCCCTTAAAGACCTGCTCTGCTTTTACACAGGAAATGCCACACTGGTTCCACACAAAGTGTAACAGACAACCACTTTAACAGCTCATAAATTCTGGCGAAAGTTAAGGTACCATTTTACACCAAGAAAATATCACTGTTACATGGAAAACCAGGATTTCAAGAATACTAGTGTGGTTATGATCGGCTTATCTGATCAGTGTGAATGATAGCCATGACAAATAAAAACCACAAGCATACAATCAAAGTGCCAGTGTGCACATCCCACAACTGTTTTCAGCCGGCTCAAATCAAGTCCTATCATCATCGTGTCATACAAACACTACTGTGTTGTGTGATTTGATATTTTGTTAATTTAAGTGTTGAAAGGTCGACAGAAAATATGATTTTAGCTGCATTTTTCAAAAATCATTTTGCAGCGGTGTTTGAAATCTTGTCTGTGCAAAGATATCATTCCAATGAACGCTTTATGGGCTGTGTGGTTTCAACACTAAGGTTCAGAGGCATAGTAAGGGAGCTGTTTTAAACATTTCACCCAGAAGAAGATAAAAGAGAATATGCAGGAACGTAAGCTATGCAACTCTTTGTACCTCGACAGAGAGACCCACAGGTGCTGATGTAGTTATTTGATACTTTGGATTTGAAGACAAGCAAGTGTTTAATCAACCTCTTCAAATAGTGGGTGAATAAACGTTCACTTTTGAACGACTTTTCAAAGGTCGCCATAGGTGACTTTTAAGTCTTTTCAGAAGAAAAATGCTCACGAGGTAAGGTTATGAAGGGTCTAAGGTAGTGAGTATTTCATTTTAGATCTCCCCAGCACATTAAACTATCGGTGTGTTTATATCCAAGAGTGTCCAAGTTTTTGTTAAAACATGATATCCTAGTTTCAAAAACATTAAGGCCAAAAACAGGATCAAAACTAGAAAAGACGGGGTGCCAGTGGCCTAGTGGTGATGTCAAGCACCTCATGTGCAGAGGATGAAGTCGTCAGAGCAGGCAGCCCGGGTTCAAGTCCGACATGGAGCACCCGTCCCACATGTCATTCCCCACTGTTTCTCTCTCCCTGATTTCTGACTCTATCTACTGTCCTGTCTATAAAAAAAAAGGCATAAAAGCCCCCTCCCCACTCAAAAAATATAACAAAAACAACAGCAAACTAGTAAAGACCAAATAATGGGACACATTCAAAGGATCAGGATACCTACGTGTATCTGTGACAGAGCGATTCGATGCAGATCAGCACCCGGACATTATCCCTGGCCTTCAGCTGACTCTTGCTCCTCTTCACCTCATTGTGGTCTGTAAAGATTCAAAACAATCACATGAAGAAACAGCTTCACCCTCAGTTCAGAAAAAAAGAGATAAAAAGCAAAAAGAGTAAATTCCCTTGAAGTGGCCGCTCGTTAAAACCCCCTGAATGCTTATCCAGTCATAGAAACAGTAAGCAGGCCTGTCACGCTCGGTTTACACAAGGCCTCAATAAGAAAGATGCTCTGTTCATGAAGGGTTGTGTAGTGGTGTCTACTTAAGTCTTTCCATAACCAAAAACCCAAAAGAAAATACTGTAAAGAACGGATTCAACTGTGTCTGTCTGCTAAATAAAGTACCGTATTTTCTGTTTAAGACTCTTCAGCCTTGTTGTATACATTTGATTTATTCATTTATAGATGATTTTATTTACCTTCTTCCCTTCAGTTTTAGTATTCTAAAATGTTTTTTGGAAATTTTTTCCTACATTTGAACCAAAAAAAACCACACTGTTTTTTAATGTCTTTTTTTTTTTTTTTTGCCATATGTCAATCTCTTTATTTTATTTTCATCTCTCTTATCTTTGTGAAATGTCATATTTCTTTCTTTCTTGAGTTTGTTGAATCTTATTTTTAAAGAAGAAAGTGTGACATTTTACACATAAATATAGCAGACATTAAGTATATCCTCTGTAAATGTCTCTCTGAGTCATGACCCACTACGAGTGAGAAGCTCGAGTCCTGCTGGCTGTGTTGTTGTCGTAGCCGTGTTAACATCAAGTTTACATGGACGGGACGGCCTTGTGTATAAAAGCTGTTTTAGTCAAGGACTGGAGAAAAGAAGAAGAACACACTCACTGCTTATTTTAGTGTCATGTAAGCATTTTTAGATCACGGTCATTCTGTGTAAATTTATATCCAATGTGAAGCTACGAGCTAACTAAAGCATGCTAACATTAGCCTGCTAACACAACACTGCAGGCCACAGACCATTGCAGCTCAAGTCAAGGACAATATTATTCCGCCGCTTGCACTTAACTCCTCCTTGAGAACGCAATTGGAGAGGGGTTGGACCTGTGACACTGTAGGAGAGCGGAGGCTTCAGTATGGTGACAGCAGTTTTACGCTCCAAATCTTCTCAATGTTTCGTTTTTAAACATGTAAAGCACTTTTCCTTGCTCTATGTTTGAATCGTGCTTTATAAATAACCTCGCCGTGCCTTCTTATTTCCCGCCTGTTTGTGGCTTTGTGAAGCACTTTAGGCTGCCCGCTTGTGTGTATTAAAGGTGCAATATGAATAAAGTTGAGTTGAGCTGAATTTAATACACCATGTAAGATATTTTGTTTGATTTACCGATGTGGACATTTGCAGAGAACTGGTAGATCCCGGTGATCGGAGCTGTGAATCGTCCAGTAGACTGGTCCATCCCCGTCCCTCTGAGGAAAGCTCCTTTAGCTGGAGGCTGGAAGCACACAACATTTGTTTTTAATATGCTGACACTGAAAGAAAATACTTTGGTTTCCCCTCCCTACCTGTCGATAAGAGATCAAGCAAAGGATCAGATATAGAACAGTAAGAAGGTACTGTATGTAATGTCTTGCTCAAGAGCACTTCAGCAGGGCTCAAACGGTCACAGTAGCATTTCAAACGAGGAAAGAAATCTATTCCTTTGTGTATAAGCTGAGTAAAGCTTTGCTGATACTTAAGCTTTAAATTTGTTCAGAATCAAAAGAGAAATGTTGAAGAAATGTCCAAAACGAGGAAGTTACTGTGGCTCATTCGTTGTGTTGCACAATACACTTTAGTTTAATCCTTCTCTGTCAGAGTAATACGTTTTAAGTTTGAGAACACAAGAGATACTTAGCCTATTGCTGAACTAAGACTCTTAAATAGATTTTGTTCTTACACGTCCAATCAGCGACAAGGTTAAATAGAATACAGTTACAAGTTTGCGAGCTTTGAGACAATCTTTTCCTAGTTTCTCATTCTCTTTTCAATAAAATAACGTACAATCAAGAGAACAAAGTAACAGAGAAAACATACAATTTGAAGAACCCTGTGGAGAGATATTGTGACTGACTCAGGCTAGCAAGTTAGCTGTTAGCTTTCAACTTCAACTTCTTCATGATTGAAGAAGCACATGTTTGGAATATGTGCAGACAAATGTCACTGTTTCTGCTGTCAATAGACTTATTGTCCTTGTGTCGTCCATTAACTCTACTTTACCTCTAACTTTGCAAAAACTGTAGCATTTTAAAATCCTCAGTCGCACGTCTTTAACACAGTGTGCCGTGTTAGCATGTTAAATAATTTAGCAAAGCTTCATTCTCCCTCCTCCAGCCTTGTCAGCCCATCCCAACATGGCATAGTTCTTCCACTACAGCATGCCGTTTTAAACAGTGTCTATTTCTGTCCTCTCCACACTTTATTCCAAGTCAGAGACAGAGTGCCTTTTGTATGCCGCCCAGAGACTAATGTGTAGAATTGAAGAAGTGGGTATTTTTGACCAAAGAGCCAGGCTGAGTCTCAGAGTGGCAGTGCATGCTTTGCCAGTGCCAGTTACCAGAGAGGGGATGATCCTCTCATAATACCCCCACATGCAAACCAAGCGATGATTACCAAACACTCCCTCTTTCAAACACAGTTAAGACAGAGAAGCAAATGGGTCAGAAACAAAGCGTGTAACCATGCAGAGGAGGATAAGCCAAACCTTTTTTTTTTTTTTTCTTCAGGCATGCACAGGCACCAAAGCTGAACCAGTTCATAAACATTTACTTGGTTTCAAACAAACATACTGTCTGAAAGTTTTGGAGCTCCACCAGCGTCTTCTTGTCGACCAGCACCGGCCCCTTGAGCTTGCAGTGGAACGCCTCCTCAATCCGCCGGTAGGATGTCATCCCTTCCAGGGTGAGGAGAGCCGTAGGGAGCTGGCTGGGGCTGGTTGTTCTGTCCAGTGCTGCTGCCCTCCTCTCTGTAGCCTCTGACAGAAACAAATCCATGTTATTATAGTGCGGAAAGAGTTAACTATGGTTTCAAACGCCCATAATTTGATCAGATAGATTACACATCAAATTGCACATATGAACTGAGAAATATAATGAAAGAACAACCTCTGAGTCTAAAGAGAAGATGTGATGTGTTTAGATGTTTCTACCTTTAATCAAGTCTTTAAACTCCTGAAGAAGAACTTCCTGGGTCACTTCAGCCCCTGGAGAGCCAGGAGGTCCCTGTGGGCCAGGAGGACCGGGAGGACCAGGTGGGCCCGGCTAGGGGAAAAAAAGATTTAACTTGATGTGAAAATATTATTGAGCTTCATTTACCAATAACTGTAGTAAATACTCAAATGAGACCAGCAAGGCACACAGTCCATATATTGGGTTTACCAGGGGTCGTTTGCGCTTGCGACATTTTCCAGGGAAGTTGCCAACAGGTCTTTTAACAAAGTCCATCCATGATCCCAGTGGATCCACTCTCTGGTTGTCAGCAACCTGCAGCAGAAGAAAACACAGAGAAAGAAAATTTTTAATCATGAATTCGTAGACCCCATAGTTCATTGAAAATAACACAAAGACAATATATCAAATGTTGAAACTGAGAAATGTCATTGTCTATGAATTACCCAATATTGGTTCTTCACAGAGTGCTGAACCCCCATCTTCACTTCAGAAAGACAGAGCCTCTTTTTAACCCAAATCATGTTGCTAGTCTACCTTCTTAAATGTGAGATATTTTTTTCTTCTTTTGAAAGATTTATTTTGGATTTTTTTGCCTTTACTGTAGAGACAGGACGGTTGGATAGAGTTGGAAATCAGCGAGAGAGAGAGAGAGAGAGAGAGAGAGAGAGAATGGGGAATGACGTACAGGAAAGGAGCCACAGGTTGGATTTGGACCTGGGCCATCCGCTTTAAAGATTGCAGCCACTGTACATGGGACACTCAAACTAACCGCTAGGCCACCATTGCCCCACGAGCCATTTTCTTGAGCATTTTACAACATTTCCAGTCGGTTGTTGAAACTTTGCCAACTACTGTGGAACATGCTGCTGGCATCAAATTCAAATTGGACATATGATTGGATAATATAATTTTACAAAAAATTCAACATTTCTCAGGTTAACATTTGATATGATGTTTTGTGCAATTTCCAATTAAAAATGGGGATTCAATATTTTGCAAATCCTCACATTATGTTTTTAATTTACATTTTACTCAACGCACCAACTTTTTAGGACAAGTTGGAAGGGTGTCGTTAGAAATTTTTTATACACTGTGGCAGTTCAGAGCACTTTAGAAAAAGTTTTAAAATATAAACAGAACAGGACATTATTCCATACACATTTCCCTCTGTATAGAAAACAAGGAACATACTTTCTTCCTAAGCAACCACACAGTTTTATTGAAAGCAAGACCGATTTATCGACCAGCTGATAATATCGGCCGATATTAGCATATCAAGTGACTATCGGTTTCAACTAATTTTATCACAGATATGCGCCAATATTACTAGATTCACCAGTCAAATAGCATTTCATTCGAGTATCATTGTATTACTCAAGCAGTTATCTTTCTGGTTGTAACCAGCAGAGTGTGCTGTCCGGACTATCACTCTGAACACTTTGTCTTCATTATACATATTTTCCACAAGTGTTTGATAACTGCATTTGAGGGATCAACACAATAAATATCTATATCTATCTAACAAGATCTAAGAAAGATATCGGCCGATATATAGGTACCAGATTTTTTTTATCTTCCTAATATCCGTATCGGCCCCAAAAATCTATATCTGTCAGGCCCTAGTTTTATTATACAATAATCAGGAATTTTGAAAAAGCAGTATTTACCACATGAATCCGACATTTGTTTGAAAATCATTATACCCAAAAAAAGAATTATGCAGGAAGGTAGATTCCTTAAAACTATCCCTGGAAAATATTTTCCAAAGATACATTTACAGATACACATCGGCAGACACAGAGGAAGGTCACACAGGGAAGGCCTCTTTCTCTCTCGTTTTAAATTCCCAGTGGAGTCTTTTCAATAAACTCTCTAAATGTAGTCATCATGCTCCTCAAACAGTCAACCTTATGCTTATTTTTTCATTCCCATATAATTCACTCAGGTGCCACGTCAGTTCTTATTTGCTCAATAGGCTTGGATGAATGTAAACAAACTGTGTCAAGCGATTCCTTTTTTCAGCACATTAAAATTTCCATGAGCACTGTGGTGAAAAATGAGTCTGCTCATGTTGGTGTGATGTAGATTCTGTGGATTGCAGACCTCAGTGACTGTATTTTAGAACAACATGTCAAAGAGGCCGACATGTTCTCCCTCTCCAGAAGACATAACAGTAATATTACTCACACGAGTAAAGTTATGATGGAACATGTAATAAACAAGATAACAAATGTATACATGGTATGTACGTAGAGCAGGGTGGGTATATATGATTTAAGATTGTTAGTCTGTTTCCTTATCATGTGTGTGCTCCATCTTCTTATCTGAAATAACATATGTATAATAAATCACTGGATAGGAGACTGGGATCTGCTATGGAGATAAGAAACGCACTCCAAGAAGTTTCTCTGGAAGCAACATTTTTATGTTACAACTGGCATGTTTTCATTTCAGTAAAATGTAAGGCTGAATGAATTCCAATTAGAGAAAGCTTGAATCCAACCCCAACCCTTCCCCAAAATGTCAAGTGCCTTCAGTTGAGATAGAAGAGGAGATAAAGACGAGCCATGGAGGTGAGCTGCCTGAAATGGAATTTGTTTAGGTTTTGGCAGCGGGACACGGATCACTTATCTGCAAAACCAACATGCCCATTTCTTCACTGTCAAAGACATCGCCTCTTGTTCCACCGCAACAAAGTGACTCCTTGTTTGTCTTTGCGATATACTGAAATAAAAACTTTCTTTATATTTGGGATTTCCAGCAGTCCCTCTCTCTCTGCGAGTCTCTCTTCTCTCTGACAGCAGACAAAATAAACAACTTAACAGGCGCTGCGCTGGCTGCATGTTGGATCGCTGTGTGTTTTTGTTGTGATTTTGAGGCTTGGAAAGAGATAAAAGCGAGGCTGATTTGGTCAAGACAAGAGCACTTTTACAGTGCTAAATACTGTTTCCATAAGACTGGGAGTCCTCAGGATAAACTGCTTTTTCCTTTGCTATGTCAATTTTTCATACTCATCAACATGCCAGTTCTGAAAGCTTTATAGGAATACTTGCAAAGTACTTAAGTACTAATTAGTTTGGCAACTTGAGGGCAGAAAAAAGACAAGTGAGCTCAACACTGAATAATCATAACCTTTAAATTGGTTAGGTGAACAATTACTTGTTAAGACATAGAGCAGTTACAGAGAACGTTATCATTTATTAGAAGTGATGGTTTTGGACCCCAGATTAATTTATTTACAATTTACCCTGACACATTTATAGCTCTGTTTTGGTCTCCACCACCTTGTAATGCAACGAATGCTCTACTGGTTGCACAGCAAAGTTGTTGCTGCAGGAAAGGGCTGTCGTCTGCCCCCCCCCCAAAAAAAAAGGTTATAATATCAAATAGGTAACTGAGTTCCTGAGTAAATATCATTAATCGAGATAAATTAAGCTTAGATTTATCTTCATAAAGCTATGAAATTGAGGTATAGTCATATTTTAATGCTAATACAACCATCTCTGTAATAATACAGTTGTCTGTGGTTCTCACTTGAACAACCCACAGTAAAAACAACAATCTTTTAGGTGCCAGGTAAGCCATCTCCCTTGTTTCCTAGTCTAAGCTAGTCTAAGCTAATGGGCTGCTAGCTGCTGCTTGGGGTATCTATTTTTCCAGCAATGGGTATCCACTCCAGAATAGCTTAAACAGATATTTACATGTTGACCCCTTGGTTTGGGTATTAATATATACCTGTGAATCATCTTCACATTAGACAGTTTTAGACACCTCATAACATCACATATGAAAGACACAAATCTGATTCTGAGAGCCAGTCGGTGCTTTAACAAATAAACCCAAACCTTGGCATTTGTTCTTGTGTTTATAAAAGTGTCATAGATCATCAGCTTTCTTTTCCAGAGATAGAAAACACTGCAGGTTGGACCACACACGCGACTTATAATTACAAATCTTCGCCTTTTCTTACATCATAATATAAAAAAAAGGCAGCATATCATTGCCAGGAAATCAGCCTCACTCTGAACTTGTTATTCTCTTTAACACACGGCATTATAATTAAACCATTAAACCTCTACCCTCAAGGATTTTCTGTGCTTAGGGTAGAAAGGCTACCACCGAGGTAATTATCACCTTCATTTGTCAGCTTAAAAATCACAGCATATCCCTGGATAAATAACTTAATAATTAGCTTCAGGAGTTCTAAAAAAAAATAAACCGATTGCACTCTTAGTTATAAGACTCTACGCTGTCTGAGCATAACATACTCTACATAAACATGACAGCTGGGATGGCTCACACAACTTGCCAAAAAGTATTCTGATTCATTGTAAACAGGTGAGGCTCTGTCTCGACTGAGAACATCAAAGGCTCCACACATGCAGACATGAAAACCATATTGCTTGATGGCAAAGAAATGCCTGTCAGAAGCGTTCAATCTGTCGCTTGCTCCTTTTGACTGCAGCGTAAAGTAAACTATAGATACCCTCTCATAGCCCAGTATCAGCACATACAACTCATGAACATGAAGTGTGGAGGGAGCAGATCCAGGTATCAGTTTGTGAGTAGATGAAGAACACCAGGGCTCAGGCTTTGATCATCGCTGATGTGTGAGTGCCTCAAAGTGGCCTCGTCTGTCATCAGGCGTGAGCGTACGCTTTTCAAGCGAGAACCGACAGAGAACGTGTCAGGTGTTCTGTCAAAAGGTGAGAAACTTTAAATCTTCCAGACAGTGTTTATCCTGGTTGATGGGGCTTTAAATCATGACACATTACTGAGGTTCTGGTCTAAAGAATGGGATGCATTGTCTGCAGGGTTTGGAAAAGGTATTCATACCCGTAACTTGGAGTCCCACCACAACAGCGTGGGAGATTTTCCATTACAAGAGAAGTCCAGAGTTCAGTATTTCACATTGCCAAAGTACAACACAGTATCATCAGCAAAATGTTGTTATAGGTACAAAGTGAAAGCACTTGCCCCACCTATCAATATCATGATCTTTTTAGAAATGTCTTTGAGTGAATGTGTTTTCTGATGTAGCATGGGGATTGGGAGCTACTGAATAGTAGAAGAAAAATGCTTTAAAAAATCCTGTGTGTACTTTTAGGCCGAGAGATAGATCTCTAAATCAAAACCAGCGGTTATCTTAGCCGACAACAAAGACTTAAAGGAGGGAAAAAGCCTCTGAGTCTGCCCATCAGTTACAAAACCCTCTGTTCAGAGAGTAACTGCACTCTGCCAAGAAATAGCCTGGCACATAACCCCGATGAAACAGCAAACTGTTTATTTTTAGACTTTTTATGGATTAAAGA